TCAGGACAGCACCATCTTTTCCTAAGGTGGGGCCCACAAGTGATAGTCCTGACGAGTTCCTGGGTGATGGCAATGCTGCTTGTCCTGGGATTATACTCTCATGAGAACCACTAGCATACAGTTATCTGTGGCTAAATGTGAACTTTGAAATGCCCTCTGGATGCTGGGGGACCCTCATGGTGTTCACCCAACTCACTGCAGTGGAAACAGGTCTTGTGGAAACTCCTTCCATTGCACTGGATTTCTTCTGCGTGGTAGACTGTCTTGTCACAGGCTCCGCACTTCGCTCCTCCACCCCAGTTTGGCATCTTGAAGACTCTGACCAAGGTCAAGTCTAACAGGATATAAAGCAAATACCCTGATTTAAGGTGGCCTCGGGAGGGGACCAATCACTAGTAGTGCAATGGTCTGGAGACTAAGATACAGCCCAGTTTGTTTAGTAGTGGTTCATTCATTCATTCACTCATCCATCAAATAGTTTACTGTGTACAAGTCATTGAATAAAGCTCTGAGCAAGTCAATTTACTACTTTGGGACTCAGTTTCCTCTTATGTTCAATTTTAAAAGCACCTGTGGCCCTCACAGGGTTCTTGGTAGGAATGGATGAGCTAGTTTTGTGTATATAAACGTTAAATATTCTTTTCTCTATCTAGGGTTTCAAAAATTATTCCATCAGAAATGGCAATAACCTCTGAAAATAATATTATCATCTTATGTAGTTTGGTGCTTCTCGATTCACCTTGGATCTTGCGAGCATGCAGATTCCAGTTCGGTAGATCTGAGGAGGGGCAGGAAATTTTACAGTTCTAACAGACGCCAGGCAGTGCTGCTATTAGTGGGTAGCAAAGCTTTAGTTTATCTTGCTTATATAAATATATAAATATAGTATATCCTGTTCAGATTTATTCCTCCCATTCATTAATTCATTTTTTAAAGAATTATCATTGCCCAGGCAATAAGCTGTGTTGGCACTCCACTGTATCACTGGCCTGGAAAACTACCTTTTGCTTTCAGGGCGACCCATAACTTGCTGTGCGCTTTGAGATGAACGGTGTAGCTTCTCTTACATCTGTCTTCTCACCTATACTATACAGAGAGCCACTCTTTTCCTGCTGCTTCACACTGTTGGTTAGAGATAAAATGTCATGAAGGTACTAGACAGAGCTCATAGTGCCAGGTGTGATCCTAGGAGCCAGGCGATGATGCCATGTGTCTTCCCACACCCTCTGAGTACATTCTGCTGCAGGGAGCCGTTGATATCCACAGCCCTGGGCCATTATTATCTCCTCACTAGAGAATCATGTTTAAAAGATGCTAGACAAGGAGGAGCATCAAAAATATTTTTCTCTTTCTGTGTCTATATGCAAATATGAATCTAGTTTTTGGTTTCCCCAGAATAGAACTAAAGTAAGTCATTAATATTCAGTGAATTTTCTGAAACTCTGCAAGCCCCGGGAGGGCTGAATTTTCACTGGAATCCTTTGGTTTCTAAGAAGCCCGTGTGTCATCTTGTCATTGACACCAAGCACTATCGGGCCATTCCAAGTGGCTGCTTCTGACCTTCTCTTCCCCTTCTGGGAAGCCAGTCATCTTCTTATAATAGTTGGCGATTACCACTAAGCCCTCCTGGGTCATTGGTCAGGAATGTGTCTCCCAACCTCATAACAGAGAGGTTTTGCTAAGAAACAGAAGGTAAATAGCAAACAGGCTACTGAACCTGATACTAGGACCAAAGGGAACATCCTTATCTAAATGTCTCTGCAAGGAGCTTTTCCCACTTACAAACAAAGTGCGAGGTTAGCCAGGAACATCTGATCCTTCTTCTCATAGAAGCAGGCTCTTTTAATTCAGTAAAATAAAAACATTTTAAAAAACTATTTAAAAAGAAAACATGTGCTTCTATTTCTGCAGTTCAAGTGTTTAGTGTCGTGGAAAAAGTAATGGATTTTGAGTTGAAAGTCTTGGGATCAAGTCTATATTCATTTATTCACCATGCATTTACTACCTACCATTCATGTGCCATTCTACACCAGGAATTGGTGAGGAATCAAGTAGAGGAAAACATAAAAATGAGTAATTTGTGTCCCCTAGAACTGAGAAGCCCACGTTCTGGTGAGGAAGATAGGCAGGAGCCAGAATATGTCAGAGAAGAGTCTTGCGAGAAGTGCCATGCAAACTCAAAGGAGGAAATGGCTACCCATGTTTAGATGGGGGATAAAAGCAATGAGTTGTTGGAGGATCACAGAAGATGGCACATCCAAATGGGGTTTTGAAGGATAACTAAGAGTTCACCAGATAGAGAATAGGGGGAAGAATACTTTAGGCAGAGAAAAGAGCACACAGAAAGGCATAGAGTCCTTAATATCCACTAGAAGAGCCTAAATGGTTTATTTTTTACTCAATTAAAAATTTTAGGATGTTTAGGATCGAAATAAATTTTAAAGATTGACTAACCTCCTTATTTACAAACAAGGAGAGGCATAGAAAGTAAACATTTGGGAGTATTTTCTTAGCTAACATGTTTTTCTAAGAGCCGTCCTTCTCTGATTAAAGATGATATATTCTCTGGAAAAGGGTAGAATCACATAATTTTGCTCATCTTCATTTTGATCCTGAGTTTCAACATAATATAAAATAAAAGAAGAAATGTAATAAGTATCCAGAAATGTGACAGTGACACTTGTGAAACTAATGATGTGGAAATTTCCCCTGAAAGCAACCCTAGGTCAAATTTCTCATTTCAGATCTCCGGTGGAGATTTCATTGGCATGTCCTGCAAGTTAATGGGAGAGAGATATGCCTCTTGTGAGTGTGTGTGTGTGTGTGTGTGTGTGTGTGTGTGTGTGTGTGTATTTAGCAATTGCATACACGTGATATTTTTCAAAGTGAGGATAAGATTACAGATAATACCTTCTTCACAAAGTAATGTATCCTAGTACAGGGTTTATTTATTTTTTTTAAGTGATCATAAATATCTGACATACATATATCAGGACTTGAAACCCAAAATAAAAATTTATAAGCATTCTATTAAACAGGTACTTCGTTCCATTTCTAAAGATGGAAATGTAGCCGTGGAGGCCAAACACAGAAGACATCTCTGATTTTTTCTTCTAATACTCAAAGACCAAAAGGCAGAGGATGTTGTAAAGCATCTTGAATTGAAAGACACGGGTTCTAATCTTGACCTGGTGACCTTGAACTTGGTGAAAAATTGCAATAATAATCTCTCCTGCACGTTCCTCAAAGGACCATGGTAAAAGGTCATAGAAATATGATGGGATTTAAAGCAATACAGTAGCCCTTCCTTATCTGCTGAGGATATGTTCTAAGACCCCCAGTGGATGCCTAAAACTGTGGGTAGTACTAAATTCTATATATGCACTTAAATACTTTACAGCTATGTATACATACCTTTTCACTTAAAGGAAGCACTTTATGTCTTCTCTTTGGCATATCTTAATTGCCAGTATCACTACTCTTGCACTTTGGGGCCATTATTAAGTAAAATAAGGGTTACTTGAAAATAAGCACTGCTATTCCATATCACTTGATCTGATAACCAACACGGCTGCTAAGTGACTAACAGAGGGGGCACATATACAGAGTGGATACAAGATTCACGTCCTGAGTGAGACGACACAAGATTTCATCATGCTACTCAGAACAGCAAGCAGTTTAACACTTATGAATTGTTTACTTCTGGAATTTTTCATTTAACATTTTCGGACTGTAGGTAACTAAAACCATGGAAAGCAAAACCACAGGTAATGGGGACTACTTTATTGAGAAGCTATTTAAAGGCAAGGTATTGTTAACCCCTTTATTTCAGGGAATTTCAAATAGTATCAATTTTCTCATTAAGTCACTATGATTGGAAACACATTTAGGTCCTGGCTTACATACATAACCATTTTAGCCTCCTGCATTGCTTCGGAATTCCTGTGTCTCAACACTCCTGTAGCCAGGCCCAGAATGTGAGTTTACGCTGTTCAGATACCAAGGGATGGGCCATTTGTTTATCAGTGTTGCCTGGCACAGGCAAGGGTCACAGAAGGTGGGACACCAAATATAGGCTTGCCTGTCACTCAGCCCCATTTGTCCCCTGGGCCACAGTCTCCATCACATCACCTGGCACTACTTCCTGGGCTAGTCCCAGAAGTGGCTGCATTATCACAGAAGAAGTCGTGGCTCAGGATCGAAATGGGGAACAGTCTGAGATTTACAAGGATGGGATAGAATGCAAGCCCTGCTATGTCAGCTAGGGAGAGGGTGGATTCTAGATTTTTGGATACCCAGATCCCAGAGATAGATGACTTGTATAGATTTCTTAATGAATAATGCTGTGTAAGAGATTATGTGCTGTAGTGTGGGAAAATAACTGGATCAGATGCAGAAGGTCAGAATTCTCATTCTGTCTTGCCTCTCTGAAGCTGTGTGATCTAGGAAAACCATTCAAGCTCTCTGAACTTTAATATCTCCTCTAAAACGGGCATAATTGTCCTGTCTGTTTCACTATTGCTAGGAGGACTGTAGCAGTTCGAGTACGTCAAATCATTTTGTAAACTGTATTGTAAAATGTAAGACCTAATTTTTTTCTACAATAACTCTCAGTTGTCATGTATCAATCTGAATTTTTAAAGAATAACCAACCATGTATCTTAGGCACATTCTTCCTAATCCAACATTTTTTTTTTCTTTTTTTTTAAACTACCAACTACAAGCTGAAAGGTGATACCTTAAGGCAAAAGTGGGTGGGATAGATAAAATGGGCAGTGAGTGATCAGTTTCTTCTTTGTAAGGGTCCATTAAAACACTTTGGAGGAAACCTGAGGCCATGATTTTGAGCAGACACCTGAAGAAACAGTGCCATCTTCAGCTCAGTGCTGGTTCATTTGGTCATTGTGTTAGATGCCTGATTCCACATAGTAAGTTAAATTGTCTGCACTGGCTAGGGCAAAGATATTGGATCATAGAGACATATCTGGAATCTAAGTCATAATCATAATCATTACTAATATAATAATATTATTGAAGCTAAAGTATGTTTGGAGACCAGCCTTCGGGCCAGGTACTGTCATATCTCATTTAATCTTCACAGCAACCCTTCAAGGTAGGTAATATTATAAAATTTACTTTAGAGATGGGGAAATGGAGTCTTAGGAAAATTGTATTACCCAACTGGCTAATTGGAACTTGGGTCTCTCTGACTCCAAAGCTACGTTTTTATATTAACATTAACTGCTATTAATTGTTTACTATGTACCAATTGCCTTATATATTCTATCTTTAGTACAACAGCCCTGCAGAGCAAATTTTGTTCTCCTCATTTTGCAGATGAGAAAAACTAAGACTCAGAGAGCTTAAGTGACTTGTCTGAGGTCACACTGCTAGTAAGTGGCAGAGCTGCCATTCAAACCCCGAGCAGGCTGGTTCTATACCCCATGTCCCTGCTTCCAACACTCTGGAGAGGGGAAAAGTGTCAGCACCTTCATTAGCCAAACTTGGCAGTTGAAAGGAATTGGTATCTGATTGACCCATTGTCTCTCCATAGGACAGACAGAGTACTCATGGGTGGCAGTAACAGGGAAAATGAACTCGATCCAGTAAAATGAAGGACTTTCTAAGAGTCAGTGCTATTCAAACATGGAGAAAGCTCCTTTGGGGCTGGAGAGTTCTCTCTGCCTATTGATTTTAGTTCTACTGGAGTTGGATGTCCAAGTGGCTGAAATGCAGTAAAGCCTCTTCAAGGGTCCTTCAAGCCCAGAGACAGATTTAGAGATCAGAATGGTGATGGGGGCCTCGCCTTGCAGAAATGCTGCCCAGCGGCACTCCTCTCAACACTGCCTCTTTTCTATTCTCTTATTCTCCAGGTAAGAGAGATGATGTAGCACAGTGGGAAAAGCACGGGCTTTGGAACGAACCAGACCAGCGTTCAAAAAACACTCTCTGCTGGACCGTGGGCAAATAGCTCAAAATCTCTGAGCCCAGGGTCCTCATGCATGTAGATAGGATGAGAAGGTTTATTTTAGAAGGTGGTTTTCAGGTTAAATAAAATACTACTACTAATGCAAGTATTATAGATAAATGCTTAATACATAGCAGGTGTTTAATCATTTTACTTTTATCATCACTATTATTGTTATCATTATTATTTTATCTCTAGTTTTTAAATCCATTTTCTTAAAACAAACAAGTTTCTACTTGCTTTTTCTCTGTGGCCCTTCTAGTTCAGACTGTGAACCAACTCTGTTTCCCACCTTCCAGAGTGAGCTGCACCCAGGAACAGACGCAGCCAGGCCCGGGAGAAAGCCCCACTGCGGGGATTAGGGTGCCAGGTGCCAGGGATGGCATGTCAGGCAAGGTCCTAAGCCTAAGCCCTGGGGAGCTGTTTCCTTGCTTTGACAGCTCTGGTGCCTAACACCAGCTGACCTCGCTGTTGACCTGTGCTTTGAAGAGAAGCAGCGAGCCCAAGCATAGTCCCTTCCCGTGGCCCAGGGAGACCATGCCCTTCCGCTCCCTTGTGTAGGACACTCAAGGTCAGTGGCTTCTGTCTAAGCTTCTGAACAGATATATGAAGTCCCCATGAACAGGTGCCTTCACAAAGCCTGGGATGCATAGCTTACTTATTCCCAGCACAGAAATGAACTCAAGTGTTGGCTCTCATCCATTTAAAACTTAGACATGGTAGGCACGGCTGCCTGTTACACTAAGGCTGTAGCACGCGGGTCATATTACACCTATTCTGAAGTTATCTCTGAAGTGTGGCTGACTTTTACTCTCAGAAACTCACTTTGTTGTATTTTGACCTTTTATAATTTGTGTTTAATGACCATGTTGCACCCAGGGTTATATCTTGGCTCTGCCACTTTCTAGCCAAGTAATTACTTTGCTTCCTTGATCTTTCGTTTCTTCCTTTGAAGAATGACTTCTTGCAAGACTCAATGACAGTTAAATAAGCTAATATTTTTCTGTGCCTTCACAGGCCAGCAAAGAGCCAACAACTCATGATTAACCCTTTTTCACAATGAGGCTCTTATTGAGGCTCAGAAAAGGCTTCCATCCTCAGCCACCCTCAAGACAATCATTGTCTCCTTTCCTGCTTTTCTTCACTGCAATGAATACCTGTGGTTCTTCACATTGGAAGGCATTGCATGTCTCTTTGTCCATGAAGCCCCATCCTGGATACAGTATTCCCAGACATGTGAGCAGCATGCTTGTAACTGGAAGTCTGCCTGCCTCACGAGTTGTGTTTCTTGTGTATTATATTCCTAGACTGGGTCTTTTGTCTTGTAAAACAAATTAGTTATCTTCTAACTCCTGGTCAGCTTGTTATTCACTCTGACCTCTGGACCATTATCATCATACTTATTCTTAGCAGGAAATCTTCCTGCAGTCCATCAGTTTTGGCCCTGTGCCTTTTCTCGGAGGCCTTTATGTATAGTTTTATTAAGCTTTGCAAAGTACTTTCTTATATTTATCTCATTTGATTCTAACAGATCCCTTTAGGATAGGTGGCCTTACCTTAATTTTACTGTTCAGAAAATGGAAACTCTGAGAAGTTAAGCAATAGAGTTAGAATTTGAACTGACTCTACGACTGACCCTTTTTATTTTCTTCTGTCTTCAGGTTCCCAGGATTTCTGGATTTGTACTCTACCAAGATTCTGTCTCCACTTTTTCCAATAAGACCATGGCTATTTGCCTGTGGAATGATCCTGCTCACTCTTTCTCAATCTCTCTCTCTCTCTCTCTCTCTCTCTCTTTCTCCCCCACCTCCCTCCCTCCTTCCCTCCTTTCCTCCTTCCCTCCCTCCCTCTCTGCCCCATCCCTCCCTCCTCTCTCCTTCCCTCCCGCCTGTCTCCATCCTGCCCCCTGGCCTGGCTCCCCTTTCTCTAATGGATGGCCTGTGCATGTGGGGTATGGGCTGCAGAAGACACTGAGCTCTGGGGGCCAGCTGCATTCCCTGCCAATAGGCAGGGCTCATTTTAATGACTGGGTTGTTTAGGATGGAACCAAAACTGAGCCAGAAGAATCTCTTATATTTTCTGAGTCATAAAGCGGTTTTACGTATGTTGTGATGAATTGGGTGTACCCAGCATTGAGATTCACCCCAAAAGCATACTGAGGACATAGGCTCTCCCTATTTCCCCACCCTTCCCCACATCAGTGCTGCCCCTACCTCCACAGCCCAGACACAGGAGACGGTCAGTCAATACAAGCTCATTAAATTGCATTGACTCGTACTATAGAGACAAGATTTCTCCCACCTGGTTCATCTCACTTCTTTTTCTTGGGGGAGTCACCGCTCATCTCAGGGATGGGAACAGAAATTGATCTTTGGGCAGCATTTCCACTCAGGATGTTAAAAAAAAAAATCTTGACCGAAACCTAGAGGAAGCGCTGGGAATCACCCTCTCACCCCAAACTGGGAATTATCCTCCCACTAAATAGAGCTTTAAATAGATTTTTCAACATAGCAATTTTTTTTTTCAGATCCTGTTTTGATTAATTTTAAATGATCAAAAGCAAGCCTGTTGCTGAATATCATTGGGATGTAAAATTAATTTTAAACCAACAAACTTCATTGAGTATTTCTTATGTGCAAGATGAGGTTCAGTGAGCTATAGAAGTCTCAGTCATCCACCCATGCCTTTGGAATAGCACAATTCCTTGTATTTTGAGCACTGGAAAGCTGGATTCTGCCTTATTGTATCAATTATACCACTTTATAATTGCATAGTACTTTACAGTTTAGAAAAATGTCACCACATCTATATTGATCCTTATAGAGGAGACCAAGACCCTGGGGGCAAGAACTTTCTCAAAGTCACACATCCATTCATTATGTAGTTCTAGGACTGGAATGCAGGTCTTTTGACTAAGACAATAGGAAACATTATTCCACCATGAAAATAATTTTAGACCAAAAATAATTCCTACTCATTTCTCTGTGAGGTTCCCTTAAACCCCCAAATGTCAATTGCCCTTTTATGAATTTTCTAAACAACTGCTAGGTCCACACCAGAACTGAGCATAACTTGAGTCTCCTCACACAAAATCAGAGGATGCTGGTACTTGGGATGTGAAATGCACCTTTACTCTATGGGACCTCTCATAGTACCAATCGGCCACCAAGCCAGCAGCCCACCCCCAGCCCATACACCTGCTTTGCTACACTTACCTGCCTGTGTGGTCTCTGTCAGCTCAACTGAGTAAGAGGGGGGACTCTTGTCCTTTTTAAATATATGGAGACTGTTGCCAGCCTCGGCCTACGGGAGGAAGGGCGGGAGGGAGGCTGAGGGGAGAGGGGGAATGAGACATGAGTAACACAACTGCTATCAGAGGCTGAAAATAGCCTGTGACCAAAGCCCTGAGTTTTGTTTCCCCCACACCAGCTGTGAGGCCCTTGGGAAACAATATCACTTGGGTTCTGTTTTAATTGCCAATCACCTATGTCACCAAGGAATCAATTTGTGGAGTGTAAATTTTTGATGAAGTTTAGAACAGGAATGAAGGGTTTTATGTCTAAAATCATGTTTTCCAGGCTCCTGCTCCTCTGACCTTCCTGGAAATCAATGCAAGGTACCTGAAAATGAATCATGAGCCATATCTGGGAGCCCTCTGGAACTCCAAGCCACAGGTCAGTACACTCGTGAAGAGAACTCAGAGCTAAAAATAAGAGTGATGGGTGTCTGAAACGATACTTAGATAATCTCTTCAAAGAAGCTTGGGGAAAAAAGGCCAGCTGATTACAGTGTCCTGTCACTCCATGGCCTGCCATCTTATGAAGAAACGTTTTCTCTGAAAAGTTTTGAGTTACTTTGCTCATCATATTTCTCTCCTTAAGAATTTAACGTGACAGTGCAACATATTTATGACAAGTCTTGATAAGTCTCAGTAAACTCACATTTTCTTTGGAGGTCTAATTTCTCTTTGCCTGGCTTCTCTATTTTGGCTTTGATCAAGCATCAGTGACTCATGAGTTTTAGAATTTAATAGCTGACAAGAAGTTCAGAGATTTTATAGACTATTCTTATTAGTCTAATTCTTGTTAGTCTTCATGTTATGGCTGAGGTAACTGAGGAACCTCACTTGTTCAAGGCCAGACAATGAGTAATGAGCAGGTACCAGATTGAAATTCAGGTCATTTGTCTCGCAGGTGAAGATGCTTTCTATCAGTGCTGACCTGGATGTTGAGGTTAGGTGTAGGTGGTACCTAACTGAGGAGTATATGAAATCTAGCCTTTCAAATCAGCCACATTAGCCCTTTCGTTACATGCCCACGCACAAAAGAATTGGTTGAGTGATGAAATATTTCACTGTAAAGAAGGTTGTGGTAAATTCACAAGTATGGATACAGCACAACCTCTTATGAGATATCCTTGGTCTGTTTTCATGCAAAAGTGTATTCATTGTAGAAATGGGGAAATGGTGAGTACTCTAGAATGTTAAAATTAGAAGGGACTTTAGAAGTCTCTGAGGATAGCAGTTTCAAAATTTTTTTCTATAGATGATATTAAATGGAACATCAATATATAAAGCAGGTAAAAGAACTCCCCTGCTTGAAATAAATAGGCGATCTAATAGTCTACTCACATAGTTTTCTCTGAACTCCCGACGTGGCTTCTAAAATATTTCTTTGGGACAAAATTTAAGAGTCATAAACATGACCCACCACTTCCATTTTATAGATACAGATATTATGGTCCAAAGAAGGGATTTGACTTGCTCAAGGGTGGATGCAATGTATATAGTAGAATTATTTCTGGAGCCAGAAATCTGGGTTTGACTCTAATGTCATCTTAAAAAAATGCTTTCTAATTACACAAGTAACACAGGAATACATTTTTATTGTGGAAGATTAAACAATAAGGATATATTTATGGTAAAATGTAAAAGTGCCCTCTTCAATTCGATTCTCTTTCCCAGAGTTAATAACTGACAATATTTTGGGTTTTACTAACTTGAGTACTCCTTTAAAAGGAGATTTTAGCTCATTCACATTTATTGTGATTTTGGAAACATGGACTTATCTCTTTTACCTTATTTTATGTTTTATTTTTATAATGTTTCTTTTTTATTTTCTTGCCTTTTAATAATAGTTTAATTTGTGTCATGTTTTTCTCTTATGAATTAGAAATTATTCTCTTCCTCTAATTTAAAAACTAATGCCACAATAAATATATATTATTATTGATATCTAGATTTAATTGGTAACCATATTCTATTTTCTTCCACAAGATGAGAAACTTACAAGAACCTCAACATACTTTCACCATCACCACATTGCCCTCTTCCTTCATCTTGACCTTGCAGTTACAAACCTGCCCACCACCTCCTGTGTGTCAATCATCTGGGAATTTAGTTTCAGATTGTAATTAGTTTTGTTCGTTATGCATCTGCAGTTATTTAAACCTAATTATAAAATTTACTGTTTCTTTTTTGTAGCTGACATTTTTTGTATCTGACATTTTTAATTGTGTTTGCGGGGGAGAGGGAGAGAGAATGTATTCTTGATGAATTCATTGAAAGAGCCTTCTGTAAATGAACAAAATTCTCACATAATTGAAAAGATCTATTAGTTTTCTAGAACTGCTATAACAAACACCATGCACTAGGTGGCTTAAACAACAACAAAAAAATTTATTTTCTCACAATTCTGGAGGCTAGAAGTCCAAGATCAAGGAGTCAGCAGGGTTAGTTTCTTCTGTGGCCTCTTTCCTTGGCTTGTAGATGGCCATCTTCTCCACACGTTTTCATAAGGTCTTCCCCCATGTGTGTCTGCATCCTAATCGCCTCTTCTTATAAAGACATCAGTCATGTTGGATCATGGCCCACTCATATGACCTCATTTTACATTTAAAGGACTCGAATCCATTGCTTTCTCCTCTTAATTCCCCTAGAATAACTAAGAACTGCTAAGTGACTGGGAAACACAGATCACTAAGGTGACAGAGAAATTTAAACCCAGATCAAACTCCAAACCCTTTCTACAACAGTGATTCCCAAAATTGCTTAATCAAGGTCTCCCCAGAAAACATTTTTAATCAATACACACACACATATGTATATATGTGTGTATATATTTTTATAAATTATAAAAATTACTGTAATAGTGTTATATACATTGTAAAATATACTCAAAACTGTATACTAAAAAAATATAAACATAAATATAATAAATGTTCCAATTCATTTTCTTATTCTCTAGATTCGTTTCACATGCTCCCTCAGATGCTGGCCCCTTCCACTTTGGAAATCACTGTTGTAAGCCATACCGTTCAACAAGGGAATGTGTTGTAGAAGAAGTTAACCATCCTGGGACTCTCAGCTTCCATCTGCTCTTCCAAATCACTCTGAAAAGAAGCATGATTGGACCGTAATGTATTCAACATCAGTTTTATTCTTAGAGTAACCAAGGCTTTTCACTATTTCTATGCACCAGTGGTCTGACATTTGTCTTTGGCTCTCATTTCAAAGAGAGAATTAATTTAAAACTATCATTCAAAGGTTGCTCCTGGTCGTGTGTCCCATCCATGAACGGCAGAGAAATGGACAAAGCAAAACTTAAAAACATCAAGACTGTCCTTTCTTCCCAAAAGACAAAAACAAATATTGTCATCATCACTGAAATGAAGTGAGACTTGCCAAAACAAATAGTTGATTTATTTGTATCATCTAGATTTTTTTTTGTTCTCCTTGTTTTTATAGCCATTCATCACTCGCTGATGATGTGATAACAGTGTTCCTTCCAGAATGCTTTTTAGCTTAAAAAGCACTACCATGTATTTCTTTTGTGGGTGTGATCTTCCTTTTCTCCCTTCCACTCTCCCACCCTCCCTCCCTCCCTCCCTATCTGTTTTTGTCTGTCTCTCTCATGCAGTGGGAAGATATAGGTGTTATCATTCTTTTTTTTTTTTTTTTACAGATTAAGAACCTGGCTTGAATGGTTAGGTGACACAGCTAGTAAATGGTAAAGTCAGGACTTGAACCAGGTTCTCTGCTCCAGAGCCAATGCTCTGAGGGAAATGTTAATGGATCTGGTTGGCATTATGTAGTTGGGTGAGAGGACACTGTTGGTTCGAGAACCAGTGAAGGTCTGAGCCAAACTATCAACATCATCTTACACTGAGAGATTAGCAGGGCTTACTTACATTAGTGTCCCATGGGTTCAGTAGAGGCTGTTTCTACATTTGTTATTCAGCCAGTACAAAGCCTCTAGGAGAAGCCTGAAGGACTACAAGCCCCTGAAGTGAGAATCGCGGGGCCAGCAAATTGACAAATGCAGATCAATTCACGGAGGTTCAGAAGTGGAAGAATGAGATTGTCTTCTTAGGAGGTAGTTCCATGGGTTCAGTAGAGTCCATGACTGTTCACCTGTGTCAACAACAGATACTTTAACAATTCTTTTGAATCCAGCCCTTCTCTTTAGCCCTGCTCATCTTATTGTTCTGGTTCAGATGTCTGCCTAAACGTTCCCTAAAGCCTCCCACGCAGTTTTCCATACCTTTCTCCATGTCTCACATTGCTACCAGAGTCTTCTTTCAAAATACAGATCTGATGATGGCACCCTTCAGCTTGAAGTGCACTGTTCACACGCTGTTACTATGAGATCATGTTAAAAAATCTTTGACATGGCATTCAAGTTTCTTCATCTTGCCCCAAATTAACTTTCCAACTTTTTCTCCCACTACCCCACTTTCTCTTATCCTATCTTTCAGCCTCTCCAGTCTAATCACTGTTCTCTAAAATTAGCCAGCAATTTCATGCCTCTCTGCTTTGCTCATGAGCCATCCGTTGCCTGGAATGTCCTCCGCCTCCTTAACCTTCCCCCTCTGGTGGAATCTTCCTCATCCTTCCATGAGTAGCTCAAATGCTCCCTCTTCAGTGCAGGCCTCCACCCCCAACTGTTCATAAGCCACTCTCTGCACCAGGTCCCCAAAACATTCTCTTTACACTTCTCATCACAAGGAGCTTTGGTTGTTTGCTCATGTGTCATTTTGGCTCATGAGATGGTGGACTTGTTAGGGGAACAGAAAGCACCTTATTTATCTTTGTGTCCTTGGTGTTGGCACCTGGAAGGTATTTGAAAGTTTGAGATTGAATTTATTCATATAACTGGGTGGTTTTGAGAGGCCTTGAAAGGACTAAATTCCTACCAGATGTGAGATAAGCAGCAAGAGAGAAAGCACAAATTCAGTAAGAAGAAATTACTTAATTAATCATATAGTCACACCACCTAAACTGTTAGAATAAGGATCAGATGCATTTTTAGAATAGTTGG